CCATTTTTCAAAATCATCTCCAATATTGATCTAGTTTGAGCACGTTTCTGCTCGGAAGCTTATTAGAAACATGCAGAGGCTTTTAGGTCGGCTACAATCACTTCTATCTGAACCAGTTCTCTTGCCCGCTTCCATCACTACAACACCTGTTGTTTGACCTGATAACTGCTCTCATATCTGGCAAACTGAGGGCGTCCAAAACGGCTGTGTGGGGGTGTCTTAAACCGCCTACCTTCTCTGGTCCAAACAAATCCAGACTATTCAGGACCAGAATCTAAAGTTAGAAGGAGACATACTGGCTGCTGCATTGTTGTCAGAGAAGCCAGCACTTCAACATAGCATTTCCTTAATGTCTGATCATATAGTAAGGTCACTTATCATCTCAGTACCTACACATCTCACTGATTGGTCCTTTAATGTCATATTTCTGTATTTCGTTTAAAATGTAGCAGGGTTATTGTAGCCAGACACTTTAAACTACGTAGAGCAGACACATTTGTAAAAAACCGGATTCGGTCGTTTTCCGTTCCGGAGCTTGTTGTGAGGGGTGTGTCTGCTGATAGGCTACTGCCCATTCCTTATTGATATGCATGCCTGAGTCAGACAGACTTGGACCCTTCAACTCACATCACATCAAGTGAGCAGATGTGGCTTTCATGGTCTGCTTTCAGAGGAGCAATGTTGAAACACTTTTTTAAAAACGTCTAATGTAGAAGTAAATGTGACCTTTCTCTGCAGGTCTGAAGTTCCGATCATAACATCTACGCTTGTTAAAAGTCTGTTGTACACACAGTGTGTTAGCAGCATGCACCTCCTACACGACAGCCGATGTTATGAATGGAGGTAAAAAGTTTGTCTGTAGTTGTAGCACGCAGACAGACCCGCGTGCCGCTGACGAGACAACAACCACACAGCGAAAACACAAACAAACAAAGTTATAGTTTAACTTGTTTGTTCTGCCTACCATGTCTGGACGTCACTTGGTCTCTGCAGAGTTAGAGACCGGCCTCTCTGCTGCACTCGTCGAGCTTCTCCTGTACACAACAATCGTGAACTTTTTACGACGCGTGCACCGACGAGAACAGAACCACTTCCGGTTTTTATTTCACAACAAAAGCTGTCTCCCTCCTTGTACACTTACACATGCACCTTATGTTTTCTCTGCTTGGACATCATATTTAACAGTTTTGTGCTTTTTTACAGAATTTGTATTGATTTAATTGATCCCCTTTTCACACGTGTATATGTACATAACATCTATCTTCAGCCAGGCTGTTATTTTATTCAGTCTGTGAAAATTCCCGGCCTTTATTTGGGACAGGCTTCGATACCTGACAGGCTTTCATTATTTTCAGACCAAACCTGTGCACAGTAAAGATGGGAAAGACTACATCATTGTAAAGTTCACCAGAAAGAATATATAACAGTGTACACAATTTGGATCAGTGGCGACTCTAGTCTGTTGGGTCCCTATAGGCAAAAATTAATTGGGGTCCTGCAAACCACTTTTATATCTATCAGTGTCCCGACGCTTTTCCTGTTTAAGTTTTCTCTCCCACACAGATAAGTCATCTTCATTTTCCTTCACTGACGGACTGTGGTTTCCCAGGAGTGATGTATGTAAGTGCTGTCAGATGGGGCCCCATTAGGGAGGTTTCCTTCTTTTAGAGCTACTGCTGTGGTTTAGTGTTTAAGTGTTAAGTGTTCCCAAGCAGTTGCCTGCCCTGCTGTTGAACAAGCAGCACCTTGCTTTGTAAGACTGCTGTACTGCTTTCTACTTATTGTTCTTATCTGCAAACTATTTCAACAATAAATGCAAAGGGTCCTTTCATTGAGAGCTGCTTTTATTGGTCAAACGTGACACCCGACTAGTAAAAGGGACTAGGCCTTAAATTAGGATGAGCTTTTATTTGAAGTTTTACATCTTGATGATGCTGTGTACTGTCTGGTAAATAGTTTTAAAACATTACATGAATCTTAAATCACAGGAAACACAGGAATGTTAGATTTGAAGTTACATTTGAACAATCATGAATAAGATAAAGAATCAAATCAGTAAAACAAGCACCAGATGTACATCAGAAACCTCACACAAAAGACAATGAAATAAATCCTCGAAAAACCCACGAAGATATCGTATCTGTACATACTTACATTATTCAAAGATCATTTTCCCTTTATAGTTTAAGGCAAATTCAAACTTTTATTTTGAAAACCACGAGCTCCCTTCCCCGGTTGTGCTCTCACTGCCGCTGTGTTACTTGACGCAGCTTCTTTTGGCGACGTGGATCCTCCAGCGCTTCCTGTGGGAGCAGCTCGAGATCCGGCAGAGACGCAGAACATGTTGTACCTGCGAAGTCTCCTGCTACACTGTAAAAAACACTACAAAACCCGCAAACGACGCTTGAACAAAACTAATTTACTTTGGCTTGTTGACCCCAGCCGTTTGTCTAAGGCAAATTATATGTCAGTGGATTAAAATGACAATTTCTAGGCAAACTTGAACTGAAGAACTCCCAGAAAATTTTAAAATCTGACTTTATCAACATGTATTTTGTGTGTTTTTTGCAGTGTAGAGCGTCTGTCTTACATAAAATGTGCAATATCCGGATTCTTTTTAATATAACATAAAAACTTTAATTAGGCCTACAGAGATTTCTATATTTAGCCTATACGGTGGATGTGAGGGTTCAGAAAGAAGTTTTTGGGGGCTTTTTGTGAAGCCTAAACATGTAATTTAATCGTATCATCTGCTCTGTGGGGACAAGAACTGAGGGAGACTCGACTGTTGTATGAAAATAATAACCTCACAACCAGAAACCATTACAGATTTAATGAACCATTCACAGTTTCACTGAACCGGCTGTGTGTGTACTTGGCTTAATCTTTAAAGGCAGAATGTGTGACTTTATGATCCAGTAGATGTCGCCTTGAGCACCAGTATGAACCAAAACAAACTGCTGTTTGGTGACACCTCTGCTATTCTGAAACCTCCACTCTCCTCCAGGACACACCTCCAACCCACTCATGTTCACGAAGGAGTTATGAATTAGAACGCACCATAATTAAACACCACTAAGACTAAATTGTCCTTTTCTCGAGCTGCTATCACCTGTGTCCTGCATTGTTGTGTTAGCATTCTAATGTTAGCGCTCTTTTGTTAGCTCGTAGCTTCATATTGCATGTAAATTGACAATGATCTAAAAACACCTTCATGACATTCAAATAATCAGTGAGTATATTTTTCTTCTTCTCCAGCGTATGGTGATGCACTTCAGGGCCACTGTGAATAAGATATTAAACAAGTACTTTTTGGCCATCCCATTCAGGCCAACAGGCGTCACTCCAAGTATCACCAGATTGTATTGTGGAATGTCCTTTTGGAGGACCTCTTTCAGTGCATCAAATACTTCTCTCCAGAACAAGCTTAGTTTCGGAAATGACCAGAAAATGTGGGTATGATTAGCCACATGGGTTCCACAATTCCTCCAACATGAGCTGGGATGTGCCTTGCACATTTTGGATGTTATTTCTGGAGTTCTAACTTACAGAAGAGGATTAGGGCCACACATAAAAAAAAATAGAGTTCTGACTTTAAAATCAGAACAACGGGTACCTGTAAGGACCAACTCCGGTGGATAGTCACTGTGCAGGACTGAATGTTATTCATTTTGCATTTCATAATTGTCCACACACTTCCTTCAATATTAATGCCAGCGGACTAATATCTTTCTTACATTTGTGTCCAATATGAATGATAATAAAATGCTTTGTAACATTGTCAAAATACTGTTTTTTTAAACCTTATTTACCCTATCTCTTTTTACCTATATGGAATAAGGGGCTTCATCAACATTCAACTAAAGAACTGAATGTAAATGTGGTGAAAATAGTCAGAATTCTGAGAATAAAGTCAGAATTCTGAGAATAAAGTCAGAATTCTTAGTTTAAAGTCAGAATTCTGAGAATAAAGTCAGAATTCTGAGAATAAAGTCAGAATTCTTAGAATAAAGTCAGAATTCTTAGTTTAAAGTCAGAATTCTGAGAATAAAGTCAGAATTCTTAGTTTAAAGTCAGAATTCTGACTTTAAACTAAGAATTCTGAGTTTAAAGTCAGAACTCTATTTTTTTTAAATGTGTGGCCATAATCCTCTTCCGTATCTAACTACCTAATGTTGGGTCTTTGTAGATTTGTAGATAGGGGCAGCTGTGGATCAGTTAGAGTCAGTCGTCTCTCAACCGGAAGGTCGGGGGCTCGATCCCCACATGTCCGATCTGTCCTTGGGCGAGACACTTTATCCTGAATTGCTCCCGCTGCTTCGTTGGTGGTGTATGAGTATAAGTGGGATTAGTTTTTACTGAAGGTCACTTCACATAGCATCCTCTGTGTCTGAATGTGTAGGTGTGACCTGCGGTGTAAAAGTGCATTAAGTAGTCAGAAGACTAGAAAAGAAATATACAAGCTCAAATCCATTTACCTTGACTATTTCCATTGTCCTTAACATAACAGAGTACGGTCATTTACCTGCTTTTTTTGTTAAGTGTCTTGAGGAGCTGTACAAATAAAGATTGATCGATTGACAATAGAACAGAACAAATGGTGTTACAATGATTTTATTAAAGGTCTTCACAGTTACAATATAAATAGCAGGTTACACAAGGGACAGTTTTGTGCAGATGACGGTCCTCCTGATCTCACTGGCCTTCTTAAAAACTTGATGGCAGACTTTGTCGAGGACTGTGATCTCCTAAAAGAAGACACCTTTAGACTGCGGGTTCAACATGATGCAACAGATGCCTCTCCAGGTTACATAATTTGGCAGAGATTACATCTAGATAGAGGTTTATTGTCTCTTTTTTTATTGTTTGTTCTAATCAAGGATTAAGACAGATTTCATCATGCAATTACAGAGATAAGGTGTTCTTCCTTTACTCTCATTGCTGTTTAAATATTATTTAAAAAGAGTACTTTCAGAGCGTTACATTAGGAAGCTACTGCTGCTGCTTTGATCACACAGGAACATTTCATCTCCCAAACGTTTACCACTCTACCTCATCCCGTCCCTCTTTCTCTCACCAGGTGGAGCATGTCTCCCTCGATCCAGTGTTTCCAGCCACGATTGTCCTTCTCGCCCTTCTGCACACACACCAGCTTGTCTCCATCCCAGACCACCAGCGTCTGACGATGCATCGAAAAAACAGGCGACAAGGTCATCACCACTCTCAAGAATATCTAAAGAATTCAAACTCCCAGCCAATGAGAGAACGAGTCAAATGAAAAAACCCCACCTTGACTTTTCGGTTGTCCAGGCCCTTCGTCTGCTCCTCGAACTCCTCGCCTATGGTGAAGTTGACCTCGTAGTTTCTGAAGGTGCTCAGGGTCTTTGTTTCAAACTTATCTCCGTTCTGGACTATGACCTTTGTCTGGTGCAGGTGGGACGCTATCTTTCTGGTGGCAAAGTCAATATCTGCATATATAGATTAGAAAGAATGATGTTAATGTCAGGGAAGCATTGTGAGTTTTCCCATTCTGGTTTGAAGCTGAGTTTGACTTTTGCAGAGTATATTCCGAGCACATCTCCACAGACACACATGACACCACAGGACACTTATTATGATTCCTCTCCTACTGGGGATTCTGACAGTCTCATTTACCCTTTAAAAATGACCTTGCTCCCAGTCAGAATTGCCCTAAATGAGTTCTCCTCCCCCCGTTCAGCGCCGGCCCCTGCCAGAGAGAGCCACACCACCCCCCGACCGTTTAGATTTTCATATCCCATTTGCTTTAAAGTGAAAATTCAATTCTTCCCATCACTCTTACAGATGAGGCCCCTATATTTACCCATCTAAATAATATTTTGACCCATTTCCATAAGGATGTCATTTCCCTCCCCGCTCGATGGAAATGAGGCAGAGGCATTCAGGATTTCCCGGATTTAGTGTGAGCTGAGTACTCGGGTTGTTTTATGAATTTCAGATAGAGTCGTGAATAATGAAAGTGTTTCTGGGCCTGATCAATGATGCGCCAAAAGGAGAGAGCACAGCGCTGTATGTGCTCGCTCTCTCTCTCTCTCTCTTTCTCTCCCTTTTCTCTTTTTTCTAAGTGGCGAGCTGGCCAGATGCCTGATCCAGGAATGGAATCCGTCTTCCTTTTTTTTTTTCGCGGATAAGGAGGATGAAAATGCAAAAAAGGCTCGAATCAATATTTATTTGGCGTGGTAACAGACGACAGACGCTCACAGAGTGGAGGTTAACTCGGCTTGACAGCAGCTCAATGAGGAAATGAAGCAGCGCCACAGCGGTCCTCTTTTTCTTCTCTCTCTCTCTTTTACTCAGTCTGTCACACTCATGCCACATTCTCTCCTCAGACCTCTCCTTTCTCCCCGGCTGCATCTCTAAATGCAACTCTTTAATTAACTCTTGTTTTTCTCTCAGGGCTACAAGCCACACTCTCTCTTTTCTACGCCTTCATGCACGACACCGGGCCATAAGAGCAAAACTCACCGAGGCCTTCATGACCTCCTCGAAGTTGTCGTTGCTCACCAGCTCCCAACGTCCATTGTAGTCTGCAGGCATATTTGTGTACGCTGTGTGAGCGGAGGCAGGAGTTTACCTTCAGGTTTGTTTGTTGCACTGAGAGAGAGACAGTTCAACGGCCCACCCCTTTATGCTGTGCACACTGTGTGTATACGTGTATGTGTGCAAAAGGACAGGGTCCGCCTGATAATTCTCTCAGGACAGTGTATGGGATATAAAGTTCAGTTTGAATTGTACTTTGCCCACACTCCACTGCACAAAACACACTAGCTTGCTGTTTCTTGATTTTTATAATAACATCATATTAACCTACAGGGATATGCATATTATGTTTCATACGTTTGCTTTAAGGCTGCACTCAGGCACACAGACTAAGATGCACTTAAAGAGTCTGCTGCCCCTTTTTTTCCAGTTTCCATTTCCTCCCTGCACACCAGCGTCTGCAATTAACCATTCTATTGTGATGGACTAGATGGAGGATGGAGGGGAGCAGGGACAGAGATGAGTGCTGTTCATGCACAGCAGTAATCTCTTCAAGATCTTTACTTTTTGCCCTGCAGTTGAAACATTCCTCTCCGGGTTGCATGTCAGGGAGGGAGTTGTTTGGCTCTTCCAACCACAAAGCAACACTTTCCAGGCTGAAGGAGAGATTTTTTTGCAGAAATGTCTCATGCTTGGCTGATGTCGATGTTTGGAGCCACTTTATCCGAGCGACGGCTGTGCATTTTTGTCTTTAAACTCATGTTTTTCTGTGTTAAATGTTTTCTGCAAAAGCTCCTGGCTATGTAGTATCTCACCTCAGGACCACAATTTAAGTAATATTGATCTTAAATTCCCCACCAAAAAGCCGTATCTGTTCTTCATCTGAGACATCGATAGAGCACGTCTCTTAACAGCAGCTGTGATCAATACTGTTTGCTCTCTGGATCTCTTTCATAGGAGCTGAAGTGAGTACAAAACGCTGCAGTCATGATAAGGTTACACAACTGCAGCTCTTCAGCACTCTATCTGACACTGACGCTTATTCATGTGTCAATGAAGGCGTTTCTGTAGGGTCGAAGGTCAAAAGCGATCGGTGTCTGTCATGACAGTGAAAGTTATCTCTCACCTGAGATTAAAGTTTCTGACTGCAGTCCTCTTCCTCACATCTCTTTATCACAATGTGTTAACAAAGACTAATGTTTCCATTTATCAAGTCATGTGACTGAGCATCATGTTTATTTAAATGTTGAAGAGTCTTGAAATATGCCTAGGCTCCTGTAAGGAACCTTCAGTTTGTGTTGATTTTGGCGCCCCCCCTGTTGACAAAGCAGAACATTGTCTCTTTTCAAAATTATATTCTGAACATGTACAAGGAAAATCTCCTCCAGCTTTCTCTGTACCGTCAAATATATCAGTCTTTGTTCATCTGTGCTGTGGCAAATATAAACTGAGCATGCAGTGTTTTAAATCAAGCCGGCTGTTTGTATGGAGCGTCTCTTCTTTTGTCTGCCGAGCTAACGTGAGCTGCACCCGGGTCTCCGTGTCTGCAGCAAGCCGCGCTCTCTGGCAGCTAGTTCAGTAGGAGCGTGTTGTCGTTTAGCTCGGAGCTTCGTCCTTGTGAGAAGTTTTCCTTCCTGCACACAGACGACAACGTCCCGAACAGGGGAAAATAATGTTGGTATTTCAACACAGAAAGCTCACGGCTAAATGATGACCTGTGTTCGTTTACAGCGCGCAACGTTCTTTCTCCCAGGATGCCGCTGTGCTGACGTTACCGGGTCGATGAATGCCACCCACCCACAGCTCCAACACCTTCTTCAAATGTGCAGACGACACCACCATTGCAGGACTGATCTCCAACCACAACGAAGCGGAACTACAGAGAGGAGGTCCAAACATTCTCTATGTGGTGGAAAAGCAACAACCTGCACATCAACCCAAAGAAAACCAAGGAGATGATAATTCACTAGAGAAAGAAACAAAAAAAACACTCCACAATAATCTGCATATAAACGAGGAACAGGTGGTACGTGACGCCAGCTTTTGGTTTCTGGGAGTGCACCTCTTAGAGGACCTGAGGTACGGCTGTACTGTCTGGTACTCTAGCTGCACTACAGCACAAAAGAAGGATCTTGAACAGATCATTAAAACAGCTCAGTGGATCCGACAGAGACATCCACTCGATCCGCCTCCACAAGCGAGCCTCTTCCATTAGAAAAGACACACATCTCCCCCCGGACACTGTATGTTCACCACCCTTC